TGATGGTAAATATTAATTTAAATTTCTTGTTCCGATTCGATTTAAATAATTTGAATTAAATAATTTGAACTTACTGTAAATTGTCTGAAGAAGTAGAACTTATCTATCATACCCCTTCTCCCTCTAGTTGCACTGAAAGCAACCTAAAAGTACCTTCCTGTTTAACATCTATGTTTTGTTGTTATTATACCTTTATATATACCTTATATAAATATTATACCTTTATATTATACCTTTTGTTCATTTCAGTAACAGCAACAAGAACTTTTCTTAAAACATCTTTCTCCATATTTAGGGCTAAACACCTCCATCTGGAGGGAAGAATCTGCGACTTACTGTAAAAGGAATGACAGTCATCTTTTAAAACAGAAGGAGGCCTTCACTCTGCTGGGATCTAACTGATTGTTTGCCCTTTCCAGTCAGGCTAGAAGACAACTTAACTGAATCTACTGAAATGAAAAACCCTGTCCATTTAGGTTGTATGTCCAATCCATAACACCAACTATAAAGCTCAAACCTATTACATTAAAGCACATTAAAACATAGGCATTATAGTTTTATGGTGTCAAAATAGCAGAAATCAAAGAAGCAAAAAAAGAGCAGATGAGCCTTTTTTTTGCATTCACAGTCAGTCATCTGCATTCTTTATGATGAACCTGTTTTCATGTCTCCTTTGACACATCGTTATGTATAGAATTACGAGTAGACAATACACAGCCTTGAGGTAACCCAGTAGAAGTATGTTTAAAATCTGCGAGGCATGTATTCATTCTTACTCTTACTCTGTACCATAATACTTGAAGAACCAAAACTCCACCCCTGCAGATTGTCACAAACTGTTAAAGTAGCATCTTAATTAAATAAAAGTTTGGATTGTGTTAAAAGCTAAGGAAACATCTACAAATGAAAGTCTGACATTTCAAATTAAAATCTATTCTAATTCTAATGAAGAGAAGCTTGGATGGGAGAAATATCCTGTCTCAGCTGAAGGCTTTTAACTACAGTTTGTGGACTTCCTGATAGTAAAGAATTACAATAGTCCAGCCTTGAAGTAACAAATGCATGAACTAGTTTCTCAGCATCAACCCTGGACAGGATGTTTCTAATTTTTGCAATATTCCAGAAATGAAAGGAGGACATTCTAGAACTTCTATGATATGGGATTGAAATGACAGGTCCTGATCAAAAATAACACTAAGATTGTTTACTTTATTATCTGAAATCATTTCCCATCCAAATTAAGTGACTGACCAATCAGCTTTTTTTTTTCAAAGACAATTAAATTTCTTAATCCATGCCTCAATTCTGTATTTGATTTTTTATTTATTTCCATTGTTTAAATGGAGCTCACCTTTGTTGATGTTTTAAATATATATAATATCAATAAGACACAACTCCTATTAACAGTACAACACATAGAAAGGGTCAAACACACTCTCTCACTTAGAATTGCTTTCAGCAACTATCTGAATCAGTGTTAAGCGAGGCGTTCTTGACAGGAATCTATGAGCTCACTGTGAGAACTTTGAGGATCTTTGTGATACGGGCCCAGGGTTTTAAAAAGCAGGTATAGCTAGTAAAGACTGCATCTTCTACCTTTCTGTAAGCCCTATATATCGATGGGATCTTAAAAAAAAAATGTCCAGTCTACTTTAAATCCTCCAATAAACCTTTCGGAAATTTTCATCAAAACTTCTGGTCTAAAGTCACAAACCGTTTTGGAACAATTGAATATAGTGACAGGAACGAAAACAGCAACTTTCCAGCTGGTAGGAACATGCTGTGTTCGCAGATACTTATTATAAATATAGTGAAACCCTGAACTCATCTAGGCACCAGACTCTCTGGTTACAAAGCATGTACAGGCATTGGAAAAATTATTAGATTACCCTTTGATTTTCATTTTTTATTTATTTTTTTGTCTAAATGTATATTACCTAAAGAATACATTGCACTAAAAATGGAAAGCAAAGCATTTCAAAAAAAGAACATGACGGTGTATAAAGAGAATGACACAGTATACAGGCATTACAATGTGTTTGACTGTTCCCATGTACAGCTGCCAGTGCCAGCCTGGATGGAAAGGAGCCCTCTGTACGGAAACTGTGTCTGTGTGTGATCCTGAACATACCCCCCCTCCTCTTTGTGCCCATGGCTCCACCTGCATCCCTCTGCCAAATGGATATACCTGCCAGTGCCCCTTGGGAACTGCAGGAAGCCACTGCGAGACAGGTTGCAACACGGAACCAATCCATCCTTTTTTTTTTTTTCTCTTACAACATTATTTATAGGCATTGTATTTTTACCCTTTTTTACACTGCAACAAATAAGAAAACCCCATGTATTTCATTTATATTTTTAAGGCTAACTCAAGAAAAATTTGTGCATAGTGCATCATTTGTTTTTGAAATGTTTCACAAAGCATTAATTGCCATATACATTTTTATTCAAACCCCTTCACTCTAATACCCCGGAGTAAAATTCAGTGCAATCAATTTCCTCAGAAGTCATGTACTAAGATATGTTTCCATCTTTACCTGTCAGGGAAAAAAAAGACCTGGCTTTCAACCTAATTGTTAAGTCTTTACAATGTCAGCATCAATCAGAGAAAAAGCAAAAACGCTTCTATATCTGGAACAGCTGCAGAGATCAAATCACTTTTATTTATATGGAACCAGTTAACAACGCATGTGAAAAGGCACTTTACAAAGTGAATTTAATTAGATCATACTAACAGATCCAATGTTCAGATGGGAGAATCTGTCAACTCCACAGCTATTAGTCCTATGATCCACACATTTTCAATTTACAGTAATGTTGAGGAAATAGCAGACATGAGGAAAGACATTCTATAGTAGGTTAAAGCAACACTTAACCTTCAGCCTACTGCACATCACCCTGGACACACAACTCAAACATGGTGGTGACATCAGAGTGCTTTTCTGAAGGATACAGAAAGTAAGGCACATTATTATGCAATGCAAAAAAAAAAAAAAAAAAAGGACAATATTTTATATTGAATGGGTGCAACACTGGTAGGGACATGCCCCTAATGACTAAGTAGTTGAAATTAGATTCTATGAAGTAATAAATTAGGTAGATTAATTCACTGCAGGCCAGAATTGTATATCTTAATTTGCAAGACAAAGTTTTAAAATTGTGTTTCTTCTTCTTTTACTTCATAATTTAGCAGTATGTTGTATTTGCTTATCTCATAATAGTCACATGAAAGTTTGTAGATGTAATGCTACATCATTTTAAAAGAATAAGGCATCTTTTTTAAGTCTCGGTATCTCCTTTTTAAGTAATAAAATAAAATATCCTTTGTGTTTTGATTTTTTATTATTTCATTTAACATCTGCATTGTCTTTTCCATTTAGCTGTGACCATCACTGATCCTTTCTTCAGTGCTAACCAGTCTTCATGGATGTCATTCCCTCCTATGAGTATTAGGCACAGGATTGTTGTAGAGCTGCAGTTCCTACCTTTGTCACCTGATGGCATCATTGTCTACACTGCACAGCATCTTGGTGCTAAAGCAGGTGATCTACATCTTTGGTTGATATTAAAAATTATATGTGGTGTAGGAGCCAGAATCAGTACTGCTTCCTTTTATCTCTACACTAATTATAATAAAATACTTTTCAAACTATTATTCATGAGACTGTTTTATTTTTTTTCCCCCCACAGGAGATTTCTTCTGTATCTCCTTGACTGCTGGGTTTGTCCAGTTGAGATATAATCTTGGTGATGGCATACACATTCTCCAGTCAATGCAGAGAGTGGACCTACATGGCAGGATGTGGCATGTGGTAAAGGCTGGTCGGACTGGTCACCAGGGCTTCCTCAGCCTGGACAGTGAGGAGATCAGAGAGAACAGGACTAAAGGGATGACTACACTAGATGTTGCCACCGACATCTTTGTTGGAGGCGTGTCCACTTTGAGCTTCGTTTCCCCTGAAGCGACTGAACAGGAACCAATGAGCTTTACTGGTGGGTTGAGAGAACTTAAAATCAATGGCAAAGAACTGGAGCTAACAGAGACAGGAGCCCTTAGTGGGACAAACATCAGGGACTTGGATGGGACAGCCTGTGGGTACAAAGTGTGTCATAATGGAGGTCAATGCAGAGCTATAGGGGCTGACTCATTCTTATGTGTGTGTCCATCATTATGGAGTGGATCCCTGTGTAACCAGTCTGTAAGCTGTATAAACAACAGCTGCAGACATGGCTCGATATGCGTTCCATCTACTGCAACCTCCTACAGCTGCATATGTCCTTTCGGTTGGGTGGGGAGATACTGTGACACTAAAATGTCCACAGACACATTGAGGTTTGTAGGAAACTCATACATTAAACACATCGATCAAAGATTCAACACAAGAAACTTAAAGTACATACAGCTTTCTTTTACCTTCTATGCCAGCTCTAGTGATGGTTTAATTTTGTGGATGGGGACGGCCGAGCAGGAAGACGATGACTACCTTGCAGTTGGGCTGGAGGAAGGCAATCTAAAGATTGCAGTTAATCTTGGAGAAAGACTTGCTCTCCCAATTACGTTAAAAAATCTCACTCTCTGCTGCAGGAAATGGCATAATGTGTCTATAAATCTCAACCGAACGGTTATTCAGGTTTTCCTTAACAGGGAGGAAATCTTGTTTAAAGATTTGGACCCATTTGAGCGATACATAGCCTTAAACTCTGGGGGCGTGACTTTCTTTGGTGGCTTTGAATTAAACAGAAATGTATCAGTTGTCACCTCCGGGATATTTTCAGGGGGCTTTGAAGGAAGTATCAGAGATGTGATTTTGTTTGGAGATGAGAACCCGATGGTTTTACTTAAAAACAGTGAAGGTTTCAATATTTTTGAAGGCACTGAATGATAGTAAAACCATAATTTCTGAACTCCTAAAAATAGAAAAAAAAATCAACTGTTTGTTTGAAGTGCTGTAGTTCTAGTTTTTATTGAGTTTGCAATATTTATTGAAGATTTGACATCGTTTTGTAGAATATTGTTTAGACTGAGCTCAAAACACTAATAAAATACATTTTGAAAAAGTAGTCTACCTGAAATAATTGCTCTTTGTGTAAACATGTATTTATTGTACATACTATTGGCTATTATGTAGATTGAAATATTATAGTTACAAATAAATGATTTCATATTTCAGTAAATGGATGCAGCTGTAGTGCATCACAGATTCAAGGTAAGGCTCCTGTCTATTAAGAGGTTAGAAAACATCTAAATTTGATCAGCTGATTTTACAGGCATTCTTTGCTCATATTTAATCTTATAAATGGCCTGGTGGGCAGCTTATCCAGATTTACGTTTTTTATTTTAATGAATAATTACAGTTGTTAACCGCGGTGGTTCTCGTCGGCTCTTACAGGTGTTAACTATAATCAACAATTAATTTCTTTCTGCCTAAAGCAACTTGAAATAATTTTGAGAACTTTGTCGGTATAGATATCACTGCTAGCACAGTGTAATACCGCCCGACGACACGGACGTCCTTGTTAATATAATCAGTCCACCCATAAGGCTTTTGACATTCATAATAGGCCTACCTCCTTTTTTTATTTGTCATGACACTAGTATGGCAACCAAACATACTTATCTGACTCTCCAACTCACTCATCAAAACATCTTTAGTCTTTGTTAAACTTTTTTTGTTGGGTTTTTGCTCACTTCCCCTTAGTTTCCATTGGCAACCATTAAATAACAGGGATCAGCCGTCTGATTTAAATACACATCATTCATGCAGTGCTTTGCATGGATCCTTTATGGTTGAATGTGGTCAATAAAGGTCGCAGCCTTGAATGCAAACTTGTGCACACAGGTGCAATCTATCAAGGAAATGTGGTTGCTTTTATGCGTGCACATGGTTCAATTAATCTGAAATATATTTTTGCATGAACCATATTTGGGAACAACGTAATAGAACATCATCTTTGACAAATGAGACCCCAGGGTTAGGGGTCTTCTGCTCTTTTTGGGAAAGATGGTGTCCATCCAGAAATGGATTTCTCTGAATATCTTGGTTTTAATGGTTTGAGCTATTGTCTACCTTTAATCTTAAACCAGCCTGCTTTTATTCCCCTTTAATTCTTTCTATACAATTGCCAAATAACCAGATTTTTTTTTTTTTATCATAGCATCCTCTGTAAGATTTAAAGTACAAATCTAAATAGATCAAGCCATTTAGCAACTAACAACTTCAACAGACTCGTTTAAGTCTGATACCTAGTTTGAACTTCAAAAGGTTCTGGCACATATTGATACTAATTATATTAAATCAGAGCATTTCTAGCCAGCAGTTATAATGCAACAAAGCCTACCAAAGGGACAGGACAGAGGATATAACCTGTATAAATTTGTGTTGGAGGGAAGGATGATACAACTCAGAATGGACTGTTTGGGTTACATCCTTCTAGTTTCGTCTTGGTTTATTAAGTGTAAATCAGCACTGCCCCTCCCTCACCTGCTGCTGCTTTTCCCTTGATCACAGCAAATATGAATTCAGTTTATAGGACAGATTTCCAGGCATGAAAGCAGGCGGGTATGGTGTGCAAACTAAAGGAGGACAACCTATAACTCTTTTTAAGGCCACGCTATTTTAATTTAAAAAATAAATAAATCACACCATGCTTTTCATTTTGGTTTTAAACTTCTATAGATAAATTTTTACATATTATGCTATAAAAGTCTCATACTAGCACATGCCTATTTAAAATCAAAGGTTTTCAGGTCTGCCAACTTTGGCTGCTTTAAAATAAGACCTTAAGTAACTATTCCCAATAGAAAAGGATTAGTTTTATTATGAACTGTACATAAACACACGGTGCAAAGGCACACATCTCTAATGTATCATACAAGCCCAAATGTACATACTTTTCCAACTGAAAAAAAAAAACAATTATAAAATATTGAAGCAGTTTAAAAGAAATTAAAATAGAAAGAAAAGCACAAAGCTGCTGTTTAGATCTTAATTAAATATTGTGTTAAACATTTAAGCTAAAATGTGAAGCTCTTTAGTTCATCAATGCATCCACACTGTTGCATGAGACCGGGAAACTAATAGTACAGGAGTAACAAACAAGATAAAGACACAATCATTCGGTATGAACGTTTCCAGTATTCAGTCTTTTGTTGGTCTAAGTTTAAAAAAAACAAATTGTTGCGATCTCATTTGGCTGTACCTTCAATAACATAAAATGGAACTTCACTCTTGTATAAAATGAAAAAAAAAAAACTCTATAATTAGCCAGTGTAGAAAAGCGGCATGTACCAGCCATGTGATCAACAAGTCCTGAAGAGCTGAAAGAATTTAAAAAACAGAGCAATATTATGACGAGTAGCTGTCTTTTGAACTTCTACGTCCATTCTCATAATCAGAGTCCCGTCTGTGCCTGTGTCTGTCCTTGTGATGGCTGCTGTAATCATTGCTGTGGTGCTTCTCTTTCCTCCTCTCCCCGTGGCGGTCGTCCAAGTGTCCGTGGGGCCTGCTCCTCTCCCTGTACTTGTCGTCGTCGCTGTGCCCGTGCCTTTTCTCCCTCTCGTGGTGTCGGCTCTTTTTCTCATGGTAAGAGTCCTTGTGGGTGCTGTGCCTCCCATGGCGATCTCTGTCGTCTGTGTTTCGCGGCCTCTCCCACGGGTCGGTGTAGCGTTCGTTCAGAAGTTTCTGGTCTCTGGCTACGGATAACGCGTGACTGCTTGACTCGGCGAGGCTGTGAGGATGCTGATGGGCCTCTGAGGTGCTGTCCTCAGATCTCTGTGTGCTAGCATTCTGGACGTCTGTGTTCAAGCTGGACGTAGTGTTAGAAGTTGTGGCATCCATGTTGTTACAGCTCCCAGCTATCTGTTCAGAGGATTCTGTGCTTGAAACATCTTGAGGTCCTTGGACATCAGGAGGATTTGTAGTTTGAGTTACTGCTTCACCAGGAGGACCTGAGCCAGGATCATCTTTTTTCTTTGGAAATAATTTACTATTGGTTTCCTCCAGCTTGTGCCTGGCCTGTGGGAGCTGTAAATAACCTTGATGAAATGGTAACAGTGGATCCTTTTTAATACTGCTTGACACTGGAACTGGTTTAGGGTCAGAAACATCAGGAAGGCTGGCTTTATCCTTTTGTAGCACCATTGTTTTATCTTCACTCTCGGAGGAATATGCTGAAGATTTTTTCAGTATTCCACTTAAAGGAGCTTTTGAGAAAAATGCGTTATCTGCAGCAGCCTGGGATTCTGCCTGCTGCCGAGAATTCCCTTCACTTGTTTCCTTTTCAGATTCAGACAATGGACCAGAGCTGCTTTTGTTTGCTGAGGCAGAACCGTCGGTCTCAGTGCCACTCGGATGTGCCGGCATGTTCGCCAGGAATGCTTCAGTCGATACATCTGGGGGTTTATCTTTCAGTGTGATTGATGCATGATGGACCACAACAGGAGGATCTTTTCCCAGTGAGCTGTTAGAAGCAGATGCTTCAGAAGGACCCGGTACCTCAGGTTCAGCTTTAACAGATTTCGTTTCTTTCTTCCTGATGAGAAAGCGAGAAGCAGCGGCAGCTGTCGGACCCTTTGAGTCACCAGTTGATGCATCTGTTTTGGGAGCAGGAACGGTCTTCGGGGTGTCTTGTCCTGTTGTCACAGGTTTATCACCGACATCTGGCAGAGGAGGTAATTCCCCACCCCATCCTAATAACACACCTGGAAGAAAGCGAAGTGGCTTTTGTGACTCCTGGTTGCTCGGCTCCTCTGTTTCAGCGGGTTCTTCAGAGGAACCAGCAAGAGGCTCTTCTTCATTCGTATCGAGGGGTTTTTCTATCTCTTTCTTAAGGGGAGCAGTCAAAGAAGACAGGAACAATTTTTCCTCCTCCTCAGTGGTTCTTTTCACTTTCATGGGAACAGTGATGGGCTTAACTTCTGGGACAGTATTCACAGATTCATTCACATCCACAGTAAGAAAATCTCTCTTGGGTCTCTGGCGGATGATGAGTCCAAGGAGGAGGTTGGGGCGGTTGCTTTCTAAACCTGTCAAGTAAATTATTTAGGTTAAGAAATTTGACTTAATTAACTGGAAAAAAATATATATATAAAGGAAAAATAAGGTTCAGCATCTTGCTACCTGGCCCATCGAAGGGAACAAGCTGATGAGGGACTTTCTCTGTTGCGCCAAGGGGAATGAGATACATATCCTTCACTTGACGCAGATTATTGGACACAACCCCAAAACGCCTACGGCTGCTGAAGTAGGCATAAAGAAGAGTATAGGAGATCTCATCTTCTTCTGTGTCGGGGGAAAAGCGAACCAGGCAAACCTCCTTTAATCAAACAAAAAGCTTGTGTCAGTAAAAGCTACATTTCACATTGCAGAGGTTTAATAAAGAAAACATGATTAAGTCAGCCATCCAATGTAAGCAAGCCCATATTTAAAAGAGGTTCAAAATAATCTTAGCTTCTTAAACATAAAAAAAAAAAACAGCAGCAGAAAATTGCAACTATTCCTGTATCTAATAGACCAAAGTCATATTGCCATGACAAACCCAACAATAAGCACTAAATAATTTGAGTTTTAAATGAGGGGTGCAGCTAGAAATCTGATTCACTCCAAAATCAAAGAATGCAGTACATTAGTGTACCGGCTCACACTAACAGCATGGTTTGGTGGAGACACATATTCTGATAGAAGAAGGCTGAATGATGGTCATTTTTAACATCAAAGAAGTGTTTAAATTAATTTTGAAGAAGCATGGATAGAAGAAGGTATTTAAAAGAGCATTTCTCTGCCTAAAACACAGCAAGGTAAGGCTTTATTCAGGTTGCAGAGAACAGCAAGGAACTTTAAAATGTCTAATTTTATCCTTAAAAAGAACAAAGATCCTGTTTCCT